AAGGCGTTTTCAATGTGATCTGCCTGTCAAGTTTACGAACCTTTGTACTGTTCTATAGTGTAGTGTTGTGTATTAGTTAAGTTGTCCTAACCGAACCTTATATAAGTTATAGTAAACTGTCACTAAACAGTTTTCGTAAATGTTTTGTTACTGCCATTAGTATTTGTCTATTTAAGAATTTTACAGATTAGCAATTAAATGTGATATTTAAAAAAACAAATAGTAGGACAAGAGCTGCTTTTTTTGAAAACGATTTTCAGACTCAAAATCAAAATGGAGTGTTATCACGTTATTTCTGTATCCCTTGCGTCATCATACTTCTTCTTATAAATGTGCCTATCTTCTAGAAATGTTGGCAACCACATTGATCTATCTTATTCTATTCACAGCTGCTCGAAATAGATCAGTTAGACCAGTTCATTTCCTAAGGTTGGCCAGCCAGAACATACGTCCACGTCTAGGGTCTCTCTTACCCCCCCTCTCTCTCTCTCTCTTTATGATGTTAATAATTTTCTTAGCCTCTGGAGAATAGTTATGTTACTTTTGTGATGTATATATATAAGATCCTCAATATATGTCGGTAGCACCACATTTCAAATGCCTTCAATCGTTTTATGGCAACTAGTGTAAGGCTCCAGCTTTCTACTATTTAGAGGAAGACACTAAAGACATAACATCTAAGAATTCTTATGAGTATATTGATACTTAAAGATAAGTTGCAGAGAATCTTTGTAGTAAATCGTAAAATTCAAGAAGGTACTGACTTGTTCAGAGTTCGATCTTCAACTGAGACTAAGGTTTACTAAGTGCTACATATGGTCACATATGGCGTAGAGGACTGGACACTCAAAGCGAGGGATATAAACAAATTAGAAGCTTTCGAAATGTGGCTTAGAAGCTTTCGAATTTATGGAAAATGTGATCGCTAACATCCATTAGTGGATTTGCATCTGAAGAAGAAGAAGAAGGCTGTTGAAAGAGCTTCTGGCTTTTTCAGTACTAGTTTTTTTTTCGTAGCTGTGATCCCAAGTATCCTTAATATTGCAGCGCAAATAGCATATTTTTTCCACTCTTTCTAACGGTGTATCGTTAATTATAATGTGGGCGTTTATGCCTCTCGGGCTCATACAAACTTATACACGATCGGTTAGCGAATGTGTCCTACTATTTCCCTCTACATGTAGTCTATTTTTCACTACTTATCAAAAGAAATCAAAATTTTTTCGTCGTGTTCATATAAATTCCATTTAAAAAATTGATTTCGCGCGCGTAACTGACCTTTAAAATCACCGGTTGCTACAAGCGTTTTTTCTGAGAAAACGGTTCATTCTATAGAAAAGGTGCATTTTAATTTAAAATTATTTCAGTTACATTTATCGTGTAAATTATTTTTTCTACAGTCTACAGATATTTGGTAAATTGATGTTTTTCGTTTTTACCCCTACGGGAGGGGATTTCGGAGGAAGGCTCGGTAGATTAGAGAGGCATTTTTTTTGTATTTTTTCCTTAAATGTTTTAGAGATTCTTTGGTCTTTTTGTCTCTGATGACCGGAATATATTATCACTATTAAGTATTAATAATTAATAGTTTAATTAATTAAGTATTAAGTATTAATTATGTTAACTATTATTTACAGCTAAAACTAAATAAATGCAAAAACTTACAAGCCTGGTAAGCATTCACAAGACTTAGTTAACAGAACGAGTCGAGGAAAATGCACTTAAACCCATAAACAGCCAATTAAGATAACCATTAATTTAACAGAAACTTTTTTCTTCGGAAAGAAGGAAAATTTTTGATGCAACAATGAATAATTATATTTAGCAGGAAAAGTTATTAAAAACATCCGCGAAAAATAAAAAAACAATAGAAAATTAACATAAACTATGAATAAAATTAAAATTTACATAAAATAAGATTAAGATCAACACTTAATATAATCTACCGTAACTATTTCTTTCTCCTCCTAATCCTATTGAAAACAGAATGTGCTACTACCCTACACAATTTATTACACCCCCGACAAGCTCTCTCGTGCCGTTAGCAACACGTATTCGTCCCAATATTTTTTAGAAGTTTATCAAATCATTAATAATTTGTCAAGCAAGCTCTTATTGTTTTGAAGTAACAGAGGTTAATAACCAAGAAAATTGAATGGAAAACAATTAACAACAGCTACTGCCGAGAGCTAAGAAATTACATTTCAATGGGCTATTTATCGATGTGGCTCTTTTCATAAGAGAAGTTGACAGGGTAATTTACTAAGGTAATGAAAGATGAAAATTAGTTCAGAAATAAAAAATAAATTATCCATTATTAAATTTAGTACTTTGATGGGATTTTAGTACTTTAGATTAAAATCTAAAATACATTATCTACCAAATATTTACCAAAGTTTGGTTAACTCTTTTGTACTAAAATTTTGACTAGTCCGATAAGATTGAATGTACATTTTTTTTAAGAATTGTGTAAACTTTGTGGATAAATAAATTATATCTATCTACTTTAAAATGTAGCTAGGTTACTGTTTCAATTTCAGATTCAACTAAGAAAATATCTGACTGTGTATAACGCTTCAGCGAAATCAATTTCGCTTGTCAACTTGCCAAACTAGAAAAGGAACTAATATTGATAGAAGACGCCTCTATGTCTCAAACAAACCTATTTAGAATGCGGAAACATACGATACATTTAAAATGTTTGTACAAAATGTACAAAAAGCATTGATACTTTTTAATATATTTTTTAATAAAATAAAAAAACTTGGTTCGTCTATGTTTCTTAAACTCTACATAATAATCAAAGTATACAAACTTTCTTTTTAAACTTTTTATATACTTTCTTTTTAAACAGGTGTTTCTCACTCCATCTCACGTAAGGTCCATACTGACGATAGATTATTATCCAGGGTGTCTATGTTCAATTCATTGTAAGTGTACGCAAAGTTCTTTAGACATTATTATTATGCTTCTTTATTCAGACACATAAATGCTCCTATAAATTAATCGCTGTCATTGGCTACGTGCAAATTATCCTATTTGAATGAGATTATATACCTAAACTATATTTTATCTAGGTTTTTATCATTTTTTAAATGTTATAGAGAAATAACATTACCAAAAATATAGCATAATAGCTTTTTTTAACAGCATAGATATTGGTCACTCAGCCAGGTGCAATAGATTATCTAATCAGACAAATGCTTAACTCTATCCCTAATAGAAAACTAACGGATAATTAATAGAAGAATATACGACAAAGAAACTTACAGGGTCACAGACCCTGTAAGACAAGACCCTTAAAGACATTCTAGATAAACAAAACTGGACCACGGATAAGGCGTTATAAAATTTAGAATAAACAAAGGATACAAATCTAAACTTCCACACAATCATGAAAAATTCCATGCTTGTGTAAAAATTCTATAGAATCATGCATGTCTGACAAGAAATCTATAAGAATATTATTATTTTTGTTGTGAGCCTGTAGCCAGTAGCGAATGTATATTGAATGATGCATACGTACTAAATTCGATTAATTTTTGTAGAGAGAGTTTGAATACTGTTGAAACTTAAAACATTCAAAAAAGGTGTTATCAAGTTGACCCAGTTTTCCGCAATGTTTGCAATTATCATCTTCAATCACATTTATTTTATATAGATGACTTGGATAGCACGCATGTCAAACGCGTAGTCTATTTATGGTGGTTATATATTTACGTGGAGATTTAAAATTCTTAAACCAAGTAGTTTGTGAAATAACTGGTTGTAAAGTGGTGTATCTTGTATGTTTTGTAAAACAGTAAAGATTCCATCGATCTTTCCATGTCGATAGCTAGTTTTTTTTAACCCTAATGGCATCTGATACACATGAAGAATGGAATTGGAATCCTCATTGGAAAGTTTGTACTAGAATTCAGAACCTCCTGAGGGTAGAAAATAGACACAGCCAGTCCCTTATATTCATTTAGATGCCTATGTGTATATAACTGTGGCATCACTATTACAGTTCAAAACAGATCTCATCATATTGTTGCTCATTTTGTTGTTGTGACTGTATGTGGGTATTATAACTTCAGTTTTATGGAAGAGAGCAAAGAAGTCTAAATTTTTGTCCACCTTGGCCAAATTCTTTGAAAAAAATTAAATTGCTCTGTAAAGCAGTAGACAAAGGTGGAGATGGCTTTTTAATCCAATATTTGTTAGTGAGATCTGATTCGTCAAGTTGACATATACTGAAAAATAATTTAGGATTTGTTGAGTGGTCTTTGAGTACCCCTTTTTCGCTTAATTTCTTCTAATCGCAAGAGGAAACTTACAAGCTTCAACAAGTAGTGGTTGTATAGGGGTAGATCTTATAGCACCTAAACAGACTCTCAAGGCAGAATTTTAATAAATGTCAATTTTCTTAGATTTCTAGACGCAGAACCATAGAGAATAGCACCATTATCTATAATGGATCGTATATAAGCTCTGTAAAACTACATAATAGCTTATGAAACTATGAATGCTCTATACAAATTGAAGATAATTCAAGTTTCAAGTAGTTTATAGTGTGGATTTAGTTAGGAGAAATTGAACTGTCGTTTTTATCTGTCTAGAAATTTTTCCCGGTCATAGGACTTGTACGGATCCAGCAAATCACAAATTGATCGATCACTATTTTTTATAAAAAAAGGCAGATAGGAAAAAATTGCTAGGTTACCGACGGTATTGAGCTTTTTGTTTCAGTAGATGCTTGGGGTTTGAGGGACACCCTTAGACTTACAATATATAAAAGCAAGTTTCAGTAAACCTAAACTTCTACTTCCTTTAGGATATATTTGGCAAATAAATAAAATAAAACTTTATATCAAAAAGCGTCATTTGAAAAAGAGTATGATTAAAGAGATTTTAATCAACTACCCTTTCATTGGTGACAAATTTTTTATCTGTAAATAGCAAAATCTCTCTGTTTTATGCTATGCTCTATTAATTAGAACACAAAAACAAAACCTTACCTTACTGCAAACAGGATTCCAACTAGGACGATAGTTGATACCAAAACCATGCTAGCCACCAGTTTCCAATCAATTCTGTAGATACATTTTTCACCATAAAACCCACACTTTGGCTCTGCTCTTGGTAACTTTCCACCAACCCATTGGATAGGACGGTCAAGATCAAAATATTTGAACTCCTGTAATGAAAAGTAATTTTTTGTATATCTTTAAATTAACTGTAAACAATACAGTTCTGCTAGTTATGATGGTACCATAACTAGCTTTTTTGCAAATTTTTAATAAAGAAAATTATACAGTACTCATATCGACTAAGTCTTTGTATAATTGACTATATCTATATCAATAAATGGTCATAAGAAAATAATATGTAGAGATGGATATAATTGTAAATTCTTAATTGCACCGCTGTAAATATATGGAAAAAATGTATTGTATTTTTAATAGCCGTATTTACATTGCAAATTATAAGAGAGGTATGAACAAATCCCATTCGTTGGCTCAGTGGAGATGTTCGTTCAGTTGTAATGGAAACACCAAATAATAGTAGCAGAGTTTATTGATGAGACGTACACTACGGGTGTTGACCCGGGATTACTTTGAGTAGAGACTGTTGCAGTTGATCGCTGAAGACTATCAAGTTTGTTGAGTGAATATTGATTGAATGCTTCTCTAGGCAAGAGGTATTAGTTTTATATGTTTTAATTGGGTCAATATATTCGCGGGCATCGCATGATATGTGTGTCTAATTTATGTAAATTGTTTAACTTTGTAAGCACTTTTGACTGATGTCCAAATTATATTGTTGATAATTGACCAAATCCGTATGTAACCTAATTAACTACGTGTGTGTATTTAATAACAAATAAATTCATTCGGTCTACTGGGTGATAAAATTATACTGTCCAATTTCGGATATGAATTCTGAAGATTTGATATTGGACAAGGTACTCAAAAAAACGAAATATAAAGTGTTAAGAAGTTGGTCACAATAATAGCTAAAGGGGAAGTACCTATCAGACAAATAGCAATAATAGTTCATGAAAGCAGCACCTAAAGACTATTGAGATTGTCGTAAAACAACGAGATTAGAAAAATTTGAAAATAAATATAGCCTTATTCGTGACACTCTTTTATACAGGTATCTGGGTAACATTTATTTTTAATAAATTTGGTAATAATATCTTTTTGTAGATTTTAAATCGACTTATGATAGTGTCCTAAGAAATAAATTGTATGAAGCCATGGATGGATTTCACATCTCCGATAAACTGATAAGATTGGTTAAGGCTACAATGCGTAAAGTTGTTTGCAATGTTTGGCTGCGACAGGGAGAAGCGCTGGTGTGTCTCATTTTCAACATAGGTCTGGACAAGGCGGTCAGGGGTGCCCAAATAGACAACAGAGGAAACACTTTTAATAAATCATCCCAAATTTTGGCATATGCAGATGATGTTGCCCGCACAACACGCAAACTAGAAGAAATGTATACCATCTTGTCAAATGTCTCAAAAAATATGGGCCTGCAAGTAAATGAGGAGAAAACTAAGATAATGGCATCAACACCCAACAATAGAGCCAGAAACATTGGCCACCAATTCACTGTTGATAACTCTACCTTTGAAGTGGTGGACAAATTCACATACTTAGCCTCCCTGATCACTGATATAGTGGCGATATTGCTTAAGGTTTTAAGGATGATTTGATTGGTTTCCATATTAAATGGTCGTATCTATTAAATTGTGTTACATATTTTTTGACTCACTGTTCTCTTGCAATTTTTAGTTGTGTTTTTAATTTATTGGTTAAGCGATTGTAAAAGGTTTTATCCTCTGGGTTCCGACTTTGTTGTCATTTGACTCTTGCTCTTTATTCTATATTAATATTTATTCTATTCTCGATTTTATTTTTATCTGCATAGTTTGGTGTCGCTTCTTTTGCAGAATTTTGCAATAATATCATAAGGTTGTTTGTAGCTGCTTCTATTTCTAAAGAGCTTGTTAGTCTTACATTTAGTTTAATTATCCACAAGGAATCTACGTTGCTGTAGTTGGCTGTATACCATATATTAAAAAAAATTATTAAAAATCCTTTGTAAAGAGTATATATTAAGAACCCAAACGGGCTAAGTTAAAGAGACAAAACGTTTTCGGAATACATAGATGATGATGAGTCTTAGACACTGATGATGAAATAAAAGGGTTTCCAAAAACGTTTTGTCTGTTTAACTTAGCCCTTTTGGGTTCTTAATATATACCTTTTACAAAGGATTTTTAATAAATATTTAGTTTGTTTTTATACAGTATTTTTCGATAAAGGTTCCAATCTGTTCTAGGTCCATGCAGGTTTGGACTAGGTTGTTTGTTAACAACGCAGGTGCTAATTGTTGCAAAAATTGGTGAATGATCTGAAGATACATCATAACTTTGAACTATGTCCATAAAGGTGTTATATATTTCTTTTATGATGCAAAAATCTAAGAGGTCTGGTCTTTTTTGGGGTCCGTTGGCCAGTACGTTTGTGTTCCTGTTGATAAATATGAGTATTTATTTTCTTGCATTAAGCTAGAGAGCTCTCTCCCCTTTGTTGTTATTAATCTTGATCCCCAGTAAGTGTGTTTACTAATAAAGTCACCAGCTGCAATAAATTTTGTACCTTGTAATGTGAAATAATAAAAAAATTAAAAAACACTGTAAAACATTAAAAATAATTTTATGGTTCAGGGGCTTGGATTACTAATAAGAGCTGCTAGAAAATATTTTTAATATTCAGGGTCTTGGATCACTAATAAAAGCTTTTAGGCGAATTGTAACAAAACCCGCAAGGTGTTTTTAATAGTTTATTAAAGTAGTGTTTATTTTTATTTAATGTGTTTATTATAAACATACGTTTATTCTTCATTTATTATTTTGTAACTAACTTATTTTTATATTTTTGCCACCTTGTATCAATTTAAAGTAACGTGTTCTGCATTTTTGGAATCAGCTTTGCAAGGGAAATCTGTAAATTGAAAAAAGGGGGTTCCATCACAAAAATGGTGATTACGTCATCATACAAAGAAGGTACACCCTGTATATTAGATTATAATTTGAAAAAACTAAAATTAAGAATCGACCTGTATAGAGAATTTGAAATAATGTTGTCTATTTAACTAATAATGAATTTATGTGTTACGGTATGGACGCACTGTATAAGTATATACGCAAAAGTATAAAAATTGTATCGGTTTATTAATTTATGGAACACATATATTCCAAATGTGTACCGTAGCAATGTAAACAAGAGTTATTAACATTACTGCGAATCATTAAATAACATGTTTATGCAGTAGTAGTTATAGCAATTTCAAATAATTTCAGGGATTTATTCGGTATCCATATAGTATTTATGTCGCAGTTTTTTAAAATTAATTTTTTCGTGGCAATATAATGTATGGCAATTTCTGAAAAATGCCAAATACGAACATCTTAATCGTCTTTCATTAAGTTAATCATTGGTAGCATACATGACAATTTGCCGATGTTTCTCAATCTTGTGCGGTGTGTAAAAATTCATCCGCGAATAATCCAATCCTTTGACGAAGGTTACGAATATGATTGTTTATTACACATCACATTTAATTTTAACAAACAATTTACACAATACCTACATTCCTAGTTTACTTATTAATATCTTTTCATCTCAAGAACTTTTCCCTTATTTGTTAAGTAATTGCAATAAAACCGATAATCACCCTTCGCCAGTTTACCATAGCAGTATTTGTCTTTGTTTTTTCAAACATTAAAGAATAATCCTTGTACCGGCATGTAAGTATTATTTATTAGGTATTTATTTATTTAATTTCAATTTAATCAGTGCCGATATGTTTGTCAATATTTTTCGAGGTGTAAAAATTCATCCGCAAATAATCCAATCCTTAGACGAAGGCTACGAAGCCATGAGTATTTCTTACTATCAATTTCTCTTTGTCTCACTATCGTTCTCTTGAGTATTAACTACAGTATTAAGTATCTACTTGTTATCTCTCATTATATGCCCCAAGTATTAGAGCTTTTTTATTATTTACTTAATTCACCTTCTACTTATCTATATTTCTACTTCTACTTTGACACACAATTTTAAGATATTTTATAAATCTTAAACAAAGTAAAAATTTAAGTGAAAAAACAATCTAATATGGTTGTTTATTACACATCAAATTTAATTTCAACAAACAAATCACACAATATCTACATTCTTAGTTTACTTATTAATATCTTTTTATCTCAAAAACGTTCCCCTTATTTGTTAAGTAGTTGCAATAAAACCAATAATCGCCCTTCACCAGTTTATCATAGCAGTATTTTCCTTTTTTGTTTTCTTAAACATTAAAGAGTAATCCTTGTACTGGCATGGAAGTAATATTTATTAGTTATTTATTTATTTAATTTCAATTTAATCAGTGCCGATATGTTTCTCAATATTGTGCGGCGTGTAAAAATGTATCTGCAAATAATCCAGTCCTTTGACGAAGGCTACGAAGCCATGAGTATTTCTTAGTATCAAGTCAAGTCAAGTTAAATTTATTGATCACATACGACATTATACAAAGTACATGTATGAGACAAGTCAAGGTTACAGACATACATCTTAAAAGTATATAAATTGATAAACACAATAAAACATTCTTAAAAGATATTTTTAGAATATGGCTCTAGCTTACAAATGTATTGATGTACACACCTCCGAAAGTTTTGCTAATGTAAATTCATTCGTATATCTATTGGTAATTTGATAAAGAAACTTATGGCTGCATAATGTGTTCTACCTTCCAACAAAACAGAACGATGTTGTGGAAGCATAAAGTGATTGTCTCTGCATCTTGTTGAATAAACATGGTTAAATTGAAATTTACTAAATTCATAAATTTTGCTATACATTATACACGAAAATATATACAGACCAGGAATTGTCTATCTACTCTCAATTGTCTACTGTCAATTTCTCTTTGTCCTACAGTATCAAGTATCTGGTTGTTATCTTTCATTATACGTCCCTAGTACTAGAACTTTTTTATCATTTACTTAATTTACCTTCTACTTATATTTCTTGAATTGAAAAAGACTGTAAGACTTGTACACACTTCTAAATAGGTCTAACTGGTAAGCTGGTTTTGTATGTTTTCAATAAAATTGATAGT